CTGCAGGGCTTACCCACCTGCTTCTTCTGTTCCCATTTCTCTGAGGAAGCAGTGTCTAGTTTGGTCATTTTAGAGGACATGGTGCTGTCAATTATAACTGAAATTCAACAGAGACATAAGAGTGTTAAGTTAGGAGTTTAACGGGAATCTCAGAGAATATGAAAAGATGGAGAATCTCACAGACTGATCAAAGCCTAAAAACTACATTTGGGGCCAGATCCTGATTCACATTCAACACTGGCAATCTGAAGTAACTTCGTTACAGTCATTGCACTGTGTGTTCTCTCTCTTTCTCTCATACACAAACACAGATAAAAAGAGAGCTTTGCTCTGTATGTTGCTCCGATGGAATGTGTGACATCCTCCCATTTCACATCCTAATTTAAGTCAGATGTAATTCCACTGAGGAGGAGAAGGGGAGGGCTTTGGTATCAGAAATCAGCCTGAGGGATCTGTGCAATTGCAGTTTTCTACAGTTAGGTTCAACAATTCAGGTTGTTGTGGAATGATTCGAAATAGAACCCCCGCTCTGAAAGCATGGAACAGCCTCCAGCCTGGCACCCAATCTCCCTCTCTCTTCTTGCCTCCTGAAATTATGTGGCACACATACTTTTACTGGTTTTTGGAGGATGAAGTTTAACTGAGGTGCGTCTAACCTGCATGTGGAACTTGAAATAAGCTACGTAAGTTGAGCTATGCAAATTGTGTCACTTATTTCAAGTTACTTTAGAAATAGTTTATTTCAAAATGTGGCACTGTCTAAACAGCACCAAATTTCAAAATAGAGTACTATTCCGAAATATCCCTTACTCCTTGTGGAACAAGGTTTACAGGGATGTTGGGATGGCAAATCCATTATATTTCAAAATAACAGGCTTGCTCAAAAGACATGGAATAACTATTTTGTGCTACATCTGGTAGCCTGAAATAGCTCTGGAGTGTAGACGAAGTCTGAAAGCACAGAAAACTGTTTTATACTATTTCCTGTTCCAACCCACTTATCTACTCTGCAAACCTATTAAGTGCTTGATTCTGACCCGTGCACGCAGGGGAATGTTGTGTATGTGAGCACAAGCTAAAAGATGATGCATAGCCACTGATTTTCTCCTCCTCCTGCGGAGGAGTAACAGAATGAGGGGAGTATATAACTAAATGTTTCCTTTTCATGCTGGGAGCCACTTTTAAGCCTGTTTCTTCTCTAACACAAATATTTCTCACTTTTTTCCTCCCTGTAATCAAGAGTAAGGTAACAGATACACAGGGATTTTGAGACTCAGACCCTCATGTACTCTCTGTCCCTATTCAAAACGGAGCATATCAGTCTGGCATGTGCTATTACACCTCATCCTCTAAGGACAAAGTGGCTGAAAAATTATGATCGTCACTATCCAAGCTAATTATTCATCTAGCTAACTTCTAATTAAGTGAATCATCATCATGCAAGGCAATTTTTCCACTTGAAACCAGTTCATGCAACTGTTCCTGCCAGAGCCAGATGATTGGCAAATTGGGTTCTCACTGGATGCAGACTGCCTTCCCCTTGGACTGGCCTCTGATCTCTAATCTCCCTATTCAGCAAGATTAATTCAATAATCAGTCCAAGTGGGATATAAAACAGTTCAAATACAGCTCTCCCTTTTCAAATGCTGTTCTCCTGTTCTGACTATTTGTACTGCGGTAGCTGTTGCCTCTCTACACATGCACACAGTGTCTGACCACCCAGAGCCGTACCAAGCTACCGCCCGGGGCACCCCATTATAGGGGGCGCCACGCGGGGCTGCCGGGCCGAGCGGGGCTGGCACCACGCTTGCTCCGCATGCCCAGGGCGGGGACACGCATGCGCCATGTGCCCGGGGTGGGGCCGCACATGCGCCGCGTGCTCAGGGTTGGGGCCGCGCATGCGTCGCACTCCCGGGGGCGGCACCGCACTCCCGGGGCCCAGGGCGCGCAAATGGCTCGGGCCGGCCCTGTGACCACCTCACAATCTTTAATGGATTTTAACTTCACACTTCCATGAGGTAGGGAAATCCTTATCCCCATTTAACAGCTGGAAAACTGGGACACAAGGTAGACTAAACAGTTTTCCCAAAGTCCCACAGAAAGTCTGCATAATTAAGCCCAGATGTCCTGTCTCCTAGTGTAGTGCCCTATGCACTACACAATCCTTTGTACCCCAGTACCCCTCAATCAACATTATGGCTCATTGCTCTAGTTATTCTACAAACACCTAGTGAGAGACATTCCCTGCCCAGAAAAGTTTACATTCTAATTCAATAAGATAGAGAGATGGAAAAAAGGACAGAACATTCAAGTAGAAAACTGGCAAATGAGGCACTAAAGGTGTGTCTAGACTACACGGCTCTGTCAATGGAGCCGTGTAGATGAGGCAGGACGACAAAGGGAAATGAAGCAGCGATTTAAATAATCGCTGCTTCATTTACATCAAAATGGCCGCCGCACTGTGCTGATCAGCTATTTGTCGGCACAGCGCGGCGGCCATTTTGATGTAAATGAAGCAGCGATTTAAATAATCGCTGCTTCATTTACATCAAAATGGCCGCCGCACTGTGCTGATCAGCTATTTGTCGGCACAGCGCGGCGGCCATTTTGATTCAAATGAATCGGCGATTATTTAAATTGCCGCTTCATTTCCCTTTGTCAAGTAAACTAATCTACATGGCTCCATCGACGGAGGCATGTAGTCTAGACGTACCCAAAGAGATAAAGTGTCTTGCCCAGAGTGACCTTAGATATCTGCAGTAGAGCTGGAAAATGAATGCATGTCCCCTGAGTCTCATGCCCCAACCATAATTCAATCCTTCCTCCTATAAAAATCTCTTCTTGGCTTCACTGAAGCAGCAGCAGTTCTGATTACCTTCCAGTGGGTGATAACGTCTTTGTTTTCATCATTGGCTGGATGGTCTTCTGGTGTATAAATTGTTCTGTTAGGCTTCTTCTACACCCCCAGAATTCCTGTAAGATAACACTCTGTGCCTTTTACACCATTCTCATTCAAGGGATACTTTAACACCAGTGAAGTGGAATATTTCCAAGTCTGATCCTCTACACCTACAAGATAATTACACATTGTAATAGATAAGAAAAAAAATTCCTCATTATTGGCTACACATCGTCATGTGACAAATCATTACGTGTCTATTGTTTACCTTCACAGAAGTAAATACTTGGACAAGAATCAATCTTACCCAATCAAATCATATATGCAAATGCTACATTATGACTGTCTGCAGTTCAGTGTTAAGTCTCACCTCTGGGCCAATCAGGTATTATATGCAAATGCACATTTCCCCATTGGCACAGAACTAAATAGTTTTTTATCAACCTTTAATTTAATTGCAGGGTTTTTTTGGGGAGGGGATTCATTATTGTATAGTTTCAGAAATATCTGAAAATCTCTTTGTTATAGCTTTGTATGTCCTATAAAACCATTCCTGTATAAAGTGATACATGTATTTGCTTTGCACTGTATGAGCTTTAGTCTGAGGTTATCTATCATATCAGGAAGCTTTTGATATTCAAGCCAAAAGGCATAGTATATATGTGCTATTCCCCTTTTAATGAGAAGTAAACCTAAGGCATCTGAGACTGTGGGTAAGTCACTTACCATGCCATTGAAAGAGCTAGCCCAGAATCCTATCGCCTATCTTTTGTTTTATTGACCGAAAAACACTTTCAAAGGGTAGGAGCACAGCTTCTGTTCATGTTGAGTCATTTGTATAGAATTTATTTATCCCTCCTGTCAATTCAAAAACTCATAGGCTGTGTCTAGGCTGCATCCCTTTTCCGTAAAAGGGATGCAAATTAGACATATCGCATTTGCAAATGAAGCGGGGATTTAAATCCCTCCCCCCGCTTCATTAGCATAAAAATGGCTGCCACTTTTTTCCGGCTTGGAGCTTTGCCGGAAAAAAGCACCAGTCTAGACGCGGATCTTTCGGAAAATAAAGCCTTTTCCGAAAGATCCCTTATCCCTTATTTTATTTTAAGAGGGATAAAGGATCTTTCGGAAAAGGCTTTATTTTTATGCTAATGAAGCGGGGGGGGGGATTTAAATCCCTGCTTCATTTGCAATTGCGATATGTCTAATTTGCATCCCTTTTACGAAAAAGGGATGCAGTCTAGACACAGCCAGAGGGTACTGCACTGCATACAAACAATCCATATTTGTTGTTTAAACAAACATTTTTAATATGGGCCTAAATTAGCCTCCTGCCATTCCCCACACAGCTCAGCCTGAAGAAGCACCTTGGCAATGACATTTAGCACTTCTCAAACATTTGCTGTTAATGACAGGATCGTAGAACAAAAACTCACAGCTCCCGACTCTAAGGAAAGAGGCCAGGAGAGGTGTCAAAAGTTAGCCCAATGCTCATAATCTAAACCAGTCCCTTACACATCCTCCACTGCACATTGTAAATAAGTCCCAATACTTTATTCTAATGGCTCTGAAAACTTTTAAAAGCCCAGCTGCCAAGAATCAAAGTGCAGGCTGGAAGCTACGGTGTAATTTCATACGCATAGGAAAGCTAAGTAAAAGCCTGTTTACCAGCTCCTCCTTACATGTCAAGGAAAGCAGCCCTGTTCGGGGATACACAAGGAAACTCACTGGACCAGCCTCATTCAGACTTTGTTAAAGGCTCATGCCTCACTTGCCAATTGACTCCATTCCTGCCTGCTCTCAACCCTTGCCCAAACAATCCTTCTCCCAACTCAGAACATCCCCAGACCTCTCAGCAGCCCATAACTCAATTCCCAACTATTTGAGACCACTCCTCAGTACACCCCTCCCCCACTGTCCCTTTCTTAACCACTTTAAAATACCCCTCCCAATCTGAAATCTCTCCCACTGGACACTCCCAGATGCAGAATAACCTCCACACCATCCCTGCAGGCTCAGAATTCTTCCTCTCCCTACCTAGCACCTTCTGCCATCAGCCTCAGGGGCTCTTTGCACTGCTCCTTTAGATATTGGTTTCAAAACAATGAGCAACAGGTTGTGATGCATGCCACAGTACATCAGCCACACTACACAGCAGTGACACTACTGAGGAAACTTAGTACCCCTAATTGAGGGCTGCCGTTGGGGTGACCATTTTTAGATAAGGCCAGGCACCAATAGCAGTAGCCTCTGGGAAACTGGGGAAAAGTCTATGGAGAGATTCTGGAGGAAGCAGAAGAAATCTATAACAATAAAGGCTTCAGGCATTTGCTACTGTCACCCCCTGCAACATCTCTACGATGAAGTCAGTGGCTCAAAGTCTTCCTAGATAGAAATGGTTATCACACCATTTCCACTGAGCCTGCCTAGCTTGCTGGGAGGACTTGAAGGGAAACCTCTTCCTCAGAGCAGGAAATGGTTAGGGTTGAGAAACTTCAAGCCTTGGAAATCTTCTTCCCCTGAGACTTCCAGATTAGAGGTTCCCATACTATTACGCGGTGGTTCAGACAGAAATCAAAAAAGATATCCAAATCTGGAGATAGCCCCAACCAAAGCACCCAACTTGGTTCCTCCTATACCTGGATCTGAACCCCCTGGAACTCTGGGATCTTTTGGATTTGGACACTTTTGGCTCATGCCCAATGTCATATAAAATGCCATATGTGGGGCCTGCAGCCCAGAGGACCATAATGGAAGTTTCCATCCTTGGAGTACACAGCCTCGAACCCTTCGAACGCCAACACCAGCTGGCCCTTTTCAGCTTTAACCCATGCAATTGAGCTGGGAAACTACTAAGCGGTAAACAAGTTTGACCTTGGTCTCAGCTCATGAAAATGCAAAGAGTGGAGTGGTGCCAGTACGCACACACCAGGTAAAACAACTGTGATATCACTAGTGTGGAAAGTTCCGTGCCTGGTGAGTTTCACCAGGAACCTAGACCTCGGAGGGTGCCCTGGATTTCCCCCAGCTGGAGCCATGTTGACTGCAGCCCTTGAAGTGAGGATCAGGGATGGGACTCCCCACGATAGAAGGGATGTAAGCATTCCAAGTGCCTTATATTCATTGCTCTATAGCGCTTGCTGATGCGCACTCTGTAATAGCTGTATAACAACAATTCAGCAACATTAACTCTGTAGTAGCAGTGATGTAATAAGACTAATAAAACAAACTATCCCTAATCGACTCTGAGTTGAAGCAAATCCATAATCCTGTTCATCCAAGGCCCTGAGAGTTGACACCTATTCCTTCCCAAACTTAACCCAGACCCTAGAACCTTTCTGAGGTCTGCTCATAGCCAGCCAAAACCAAGAGAGCACTGAACAAGTAAATGGTTTTTTTTCTACATTTCTACCCCAGGTGGCAAATAAATGAGCTCCTCATTCCTTATGCTTAAACAAAATAACTCTCTAGTGAAGGACAAACACAGAGGCTGTGTCTAGACTGGCAAGTTTTTCCGCAAAAACAGCTGCTTTTGCGGAAAAACTTGTCAGCTGTCTACACTGGCAACTTGAATTTCCGCAAGAACACTGACGATCTCATGTAAGAAATCAGTGCTTCTTGCGGAAATACTATGCTGCTCCCGTTCGGGCAAAAGTCCTTTTGCACAAAGCTTTTGCGCAAAAGGGCCAGTGTAGACAGCTCAGATTTGTTTTGCGCAAAAAAGCCCAGATCGCGAAAATGGCAATCGGGGCTTTTTTGCGCAAAAGCACGTCTAGATTGGCACGGACGCTTTTCCGCAAAAAGTGCTTTTGCGGAAAAGTGTCCATGCCAATCTAGACGCTCTTTTCCGCAAATGCTTTTAACGGAAAACTTTTCTGTTAAAAGCATTTGCGGAAAATCATGCCAGTCTAGACGTAGCCAGAGAGGAAGCTTTTTCAGCCACAAGGCATCTACATCCTTCATTACTTTTAATTGTAATGTTTTAATTGTAATTGTAATTGTATGCAATTGGTTTTTTTCCCCAAAAAACAATGTGTGGGGAAGGTTAAATTATTTTCCATATGATATTGCATATGTGTTACGTCTATTATACAGTGGAAATATCCTGTACTTGAAAGTGATTTTGTTATCTGGTAATACCTAGATGATGCCGATAACTAATTCAGCCCTAATCCTCGTGACAGATAGATTTAAATCTGGCTTTTTAAAAGCCAAGATTCTAATCAATGGCATCAAGAAGTGCATTGTGCACAAACACATCATTATTTAAATAAGAGTAAGATGAATCACCAATTATAAAATCAAAACATTCAACTAGAAATGCAGAAAAGGGACAAGGTTTGGCATTCATTTCAGATCCGATGACAATTGATTTATTTGTAACTACACTGTGGAAATCATATATGAATGCATTAACCTTTGGAGATATGCTTGTATTTATTTCCACTTACTGACTTTATAATAGAGTGCCCTATTTATGCAACAATTTGTGATTTATGCAAGACTGCTTCTTCCACTGTGTTCCTTTATCTTAGAGTTAAAAAAGTAGACTCTCTGAAAAAGAAACAACAAAAACAAAAAAGTTGATGGCCAAATTCACTGCAGTGAATTTTGTTCGTCACCCATTGCTGTAGTGCAGGAATGGGCAAACTGGCTTGCAGGCCATGTCCAGCTCATCAGAACTTTTTATTTGGCTCTATAGCTCTCACCAGGTACTAGAGGTAAGGAGCTTGTCCCACTGTGCTTGCCTGGAACTCCTCACAATTCTTTGATGAGCGCCATCTTCCAGGATGCAGAGCCACACTGTGCAGGTGTGACTTCACCATGCTATTTCCAGGACTGGAACCCTGCCCCTACATGGCAGTCCCCCTACATGGCAGGGCACCCAGTCTCCTCCCAGTATCCAATGGCTCCACCTCAGAGAGCCTCAAAACCTCCCAGGGGCCACATCTGCTACAGCTAAAGTGACCTACCTTTGGCAGTGCCTGGTACAGTCATGCCACTGCCAGCAGGTTCCCTAGGAGTCCCTGGTAGTGCCCCCCTAGAGCCACGACTCCCTGGATCACACCCCATGAGTCCCTTCTTCCCCTACCTTGGTAACATCCCATATTGAGCTCTCCTCCCCTGCCAAGTGCCACACCCTATGAGTCCTCCTGCCCCACTTTGAGTT